CCCCAAAACCCCAAAACCCCAAAACCCCGGTCTAAACCCCAAAGATCGAATATTATAAATTTTAAGTAAACATGAGCATAAACAAGAAAAGGCTGCTTGTGCTGCTAGTGGTCTTGTACATTGGAAGAGGAGAGATGGGTCATGTCACAGCTTTTAGGTTCCAGCCGGGGAGTTTTCTATTCTTCACAGACATACTAACAGAACCCCTCTGGATCGCCCTTTCAAAACTAAAATCAGTTTTATTCCCCTCTGCCTGCCCTGAATGGTTTATCTCACTGAGTGGCAAATTATTTGACAGTCAAGTTATTCATTGGTATGATTTTTATGAGTTTGCAATGGAGGGGTTGTTTTATACTAAGAATGTTGCTGAGATACCACCAGCTATTTGGTTGACAGGAATCTTCGATCTTGTAAGATTCCATATCAGACAATTATTCTCAGAGTTTGATTATGGGTTTTGGGAATTGGAAGCGCTTTATTGAGTAAAGAAAATAACAGTACATATTACTATATGGGAAGAGAAGGGGAAAGAGTATTTCGAAATGAAAAGGAGATGTATCGGGAGTCGAGTAGGGAAGTATTTCTTACCATTATATCAGGGGATTGATACATCAGACTGTTCCGAGGTTGATCCAATCATTCTAAGATTTTCCGAAAGTCCCATTGATCCTGTATTGAGCTATTCCCTTTTGATTTGGAAAATACTTTTTCTTTTATGTGTTATTGGAGCAATTGTGATAATGATGAAGCTATTCTTAGCAGAATGGAAGATTTATGAGAACCTAAGGTCTACTCAGCCTGAAGGATCTATTGAAATTATGAATAAAAGTTCTTGGAAATCTGAAAGCTTAAGTAGAGAAAGAGTATCCTTTTCAGAGTTTTTCAATGATCAAGATCAGGACAGTGTGAATGTTGGATTGGCTAAATCATCCAATTTACCAAATAGCCAATTTAACAGTGTGAACTATGATAATTCATTATAAGAAGAATTTTCCAAGTTGTTTACGAGTTCTTTTTGCTGAATTAATATATGTTTCAACTCTCAGCCATTCTTCTGGGGTTTTGGGGTTTTGGGGTTTTGGGGAGATT